CCACTCATATATATTTTAGGACCAAAAATTTAATTACTAACGATTTTTACCAGTCAATGGATTAATGATTTCCGGAAAATCTCATCAATAATCTAAGAATTTTTGCGTAAAATGAGGTAAAAATTGATAACAAGACGCTAAAGTCTTCTCCGGAAAGACAATAAGATTTTATAAATGATTTTTTATTCTTAAATCATGGAACTGCGAACATGTAACCCCCATCAACTTGTATGCATTTTTCTTTATCAATTACTTATAACAGGTAACATAACATAAATTTACATCATTTATTTCATATAAAGACATGTAAAGTGTATGCTTGATTGACTGTATTCAATTGGTTCTATCATTTAAATATTTGACTTACCGTGGTTTTTGTTTAAGTATATTTCACTCATTCGTGAAACAAAGTAAAAGACTATTGTAAGCTTCCATATGTCTACTATGTAAAACGATATTCATACAGTCGATTCACTCAGTGAGACTCGCATGACACGTACAAGTATGTGTGTCACAATAACTGAAGCTAAGATCATACTGTCAATAAGGTCACTGTCTTATAGAACTCTTAAGCGACATTCTTATTTATATTCTATGCAAGCATTTATATTCCTGTCTATAAATACTAACAAGGATTTAGGAAATGGAGAAGCAATGCAAATTTTTTAAGCGAAGTTCATATATCATTAAAAAATTTTTGAAAAGAATATTATCGGCAGAATCAAATTGAATCTTGAAAGAAAAGTATTATTGAAAGTCTAAACGCATTTTCAATGTTTTAATAAAAGTAGTTACCAGATTTACCAATAATACCCATAGCTCCCTTTCTTAGGAGGAATTCTTCAAAATCATATGTCACTTTAAAATATTTTTAATATTTCCTAAAATCGAACTGAATTTGAATTACCATACTTATACTGGAACTTTTAACTTCATAAAATGCCTTAAAAAAACAGCAGGTTCCAGCAAATGTTCTACCAAGCCTCTTTCTTCGTTCCTCATTACTGTCACGGAAGCTCAGTCGGTAGAGCGCTCGCTCCGTGATCGGAAGGTCGTGTGTTCGAATCACGGCCGCGACTGACCTAAGTCCTTCGCCAAGCGCTCGGCACTTTAGAGTGAAAGTTACGGGTCTTAGGATGAGACCTTAACAACCGAGGCCCCGTGTCACGGTAGTTGTTGGCACGATAAAGAACCCTCACTGCTCAATGGCCCCGAGTGCCGAGTAAAGGTCTAAATTTGAAGCCCTTCACCGGTATATGGTGACGTCCTTATTTAAGTGAAAAATTCTCGAACGGGACGTAAAACTACATACAATCAATCAATCAATCAATCAATCGTTCCTCACTAAAAAAACAACCGTCAAGGAGAAAATTCAGGGGTACTGTACAACAACATATTCAAGAAGTGGTAAAAATCAAATGTTGATACTTACAAAACTCCAAGGAACTTTTAGAAAAATTGAAATCACAAAGTCAATCAAATCAAAGCGTACGACTTCAACACATTATACAATCATTTCCAATGATAAGTTAAAGTCTACGATTTTTGACGTCATAGACAGCTGCTTATTTAATACAAATTGGACTCTTAAATTTACTTCCCTTGTCATTCGGCATTTGCAAAATTATTTTGTTAAAAAACATTCTGATTGTACAAACATGTACTCTGAAGTTGGTATTAAAAAGATGCTTGAGTTTCTGATTGACAATATGTAGTCTTTTGAGATCAAGTCTTCCAACGATCTGTCGGAAAGCCGATGGAAGCAATTGCGCCCCATTATTAGCAGAGCAATTTTTGTATTCAAATAAAACAGAGTTTATTCAAAAACTCCTACCTGAGAAAAAGAAAACACTTGTTTCAATGGCTTCAACTCGACATTTAGATATATCGACGACGTATTATCAATTAACAATAGTTACTTCCATTCATATGTCGTCTCAATATATCCATGTGAACTTGAAATTAAAAAAAAAAAATAACACATAGTCTAACACATCTGTCAAATATACTTACTAGAAAAAGAAATTATTGGTAACCTTACAAGAAAAAATTATGATAAACGTGATGACTTCAACTTTTCTATCGTCAACTTCCCTTATTGATGTAGCAATATACCTTTATCACCAGCATATGGAGTTTTTGTTTCCCAGTTGATTCGATACGCAAGAGCATGCTCTACGTACAAACAATTTTTAAAACATAGAACAAAGATACCAACAGTCTTTTTAAAGTCATCATTTTGCAAATTCTATGGTCGATACAATGATCTTTTCAGCAAATACAATCTATCATTAAGTCGAGTGCTGACTGACGTTTTCATACTCATTGTTAGGCCATTATTTACACTGAACTGCCTAAGGATTTTTCCATTATTTGCCGATCATGACAAGGAGCACATGGCGAGTGTGACCGGTAGACAGGGGATGCTTACTCCTCCATGGCACCTGATCCCACCTCTGACGTATTTAGAGGTCCGTGTTTGCTCTGCTCCCAATTTGTATTGTTTCAATGGACTTTTCATTGATAACTGTTCCTTATCTCCATGTTTCATGTAGTTTGCATTCAGTTTACACGAAAGGCAATCCTGCAGAAAACATTCTTATTCTTATGAATGTCTTGGAATTCTGATGTGTAAATATACTGCAAATGAAATAAGCATTTGTTTCTGATGTGAAACTTCTTTCACTTTTAGATGATTATGTCACTCCGAACGAAGTCGGTGCGACATATTGTTAGTGCTACACCTATGTTTTATACTTTTATGTTCTCAGAAAAGGCTCAGGTACCTTGTGAAAAACGGAGCTAACTTCGTGCATACTTGCTTACTCTGCTATCTAGTATTCCAGCCAAGGGATCAGTTCGGGTGACACTTAAGCTTTAGCTTGACATAGTCAACTTTCTGATTTTATTGTATTTCAAGGCTTCAAATCAACCATCACATATAAGCACTGTCATTGAAATTGGATTTGCAAGCTTCTTTCGTAACAATATTGCATAACAAGTAAATCAGTCAGTTCACAGATATCGAAGTGAAAGGAGGAAAACCAGGTCCATCATTATCATAAATTAGGAAGACAAAACAGCATTAAAACAAAATATTTTTGTTGATAAAATAATCTTTTTTTCAAATGCAAGGTTATAAATGGATTTGGTTAGTAATAGATTAATTTTGCTCAGGATTCCCGATCGACTTTCTGACAGCTGGCAGAAGTAATATTACACTATCTTCAAAGAAACTGCGTATTTTCTATGTATAATCTTACAGAAAATGAAAATAGCAGAAAGAATTTACGTTAACTGAAATAAATATACGATGAACTTTAATCAAATAATTACTTTACAATTTACTTGTTGCTGTTTATAATTATCCCTAAGTCAGTTAACTTTATAATTGAGAAAGCTAAATTATAATTACAGATAATCTCTGACAAAATAAATAATCAATGATGTATGATTTCTCAACAAATGAAATGAAACGAAACAAAATCCAAATAAAACACACATAAAATATAGTACGTCCACAACATGAAACATGCAGAACATACACATGACATACATAAAAACAAAACAAACAAATACACACATCTTACCTCACATGAGGAGTAATGGTTATTTACCATATATTCTAATCATGTCTAATATTGTACATGCAGCCATTAGGACACTATCCTAATGGATAGTATCCTAATGCATATAAAACGTATTGTCTATTTAATTTTACGATATGGTTAAAATTTGTTCAGGAACACGAAAATTGACTATCTCATATATTACTCTTGAAATCTTTAATAAATAATAATTATTTAATTCATACTGCACTTATCTGAGTACAATTAATCAACTAAAGCAGTGTGCACACATTACAATGACTCTAGGTCTCAAACTCCTAAATAATGAAACCGACGACTTTACGTAAATAAATACTTTATAAAATTACACCTACATTAAACTATAAAAATAATTATCTGTAATCCTAGCAGATTTTAATAGACAATAATTTAAGTAAATCTGACTCTGCCTGGCAAATATATTGTAGCACGAACTTGTACCACCGGGAAAGTGAAAAACCGCCAAAACCAGGTAACCTAATCGAACTACCTGCGGTGCAATGAACCATAAAATTTAAATAATAAGGTTATACAGTTCCAGGTCGTTTGTAGAAATAGATAGCATATTCTATAAATAAATGTAATTCTTTTAAAAATACTTATTATTAATAACAAGAACTCAAATCATTCTATCATAGTAATTTTATTTACTTAGTATCATCACCAGTTCAAACCTGAAATGAAATATGTTAATTAATATTACACTCAAATATTTACTATGAAATACTGGCTATAACACAGATAATTAGAAACAAATGTAAAGTATCACCAAATCACTCATTAATATCAAACATCATGGATAATATAATAACTTACTTGGACAGAAAACTTTTTCGCGTTGGGGGCACTTTTGGCATGATATTCCACAGTACTGTTCATAATACGCTGTCAAGTGAAAAGATTGGCACGTAGCAGTGTGTGAAGCCCGATAAGGTACTTGCTAGCCCTGAAAATTTTGAAAAGTTTAATTAAAAAAAAAGGTCTGCTGTAAAATTGTTAGTCCGGACCTTGAGGACAACAGGATTTTTTTTAAAAATAAATAGATTTTGACATGCTACTCTTTTTTTCTTTTTTTTCCCAAAAATATATTGATGGTAATTAGGATAGAATGCCATGATATTTCTGAAAATATAAATTAGTAGAATATGTCATAATATTTCCGGCAAAAGAAGTTGAGTCTTTATTTGAAACCGAATTAGGTCCTAGGGCTATTCATATACAAGTAACACAGAAATGATCTATGCTTTGGTCTGATGTGGTATTTTGACTGATATTTTAAAATGGGATTCTTACTACCATTTTGTTCTATATTACATAATATGGCATATGTCCTCATGAATTCTAAGAAAGTAATCTTGCTTATTGAGCTACTTATACTTTAGATTAATTGAAAGAATATATATCGTGTGGAATAGATTAAAGTGAAAAAATGGAGGAGGATAAACGAGTTCCGATAGATAGAGGCTGGGCATGGGTGATTCTTGTCGGTAAGTGCTATATATAAAAGTCATTAAGATCATAGAAAATATAGAGAACTCTTGCACTACGAACGTATACAAGAATTGCAATATTTTTTTAAACAAATGTATCCAATAAAATGTTTAAAAAGGACATCAAAAAATACAAGCTACAGAGATTTAAGATTTTGTAACAGCAGAGGCTTATTAATATTTACATAAAATTTGTTCAGGTGCGATCTGCAGATAGTATTTATGTGATAAATTGCCATACTCTCTTAAGCAAACTTCATTGTCGTGTTCCTGGTCATTGGCTGTACCTCCTCCTTTGGACTTTTCTTTGCTGAGTTTATGAGTGAATATAAGGCGTCCGCCTCTAGCATCACCGTGGCATTGTCGGTACAGACTGTCATATTCAGTTTCTCTTGTAAGTCTCATATAGAGTGCAATTCCTTTTTACTGACTCTCTTTCATCATTAGACCAATCATGAGATGATTATAAACAATTTTCCAGATATTATCAAAGGAGATGTTTTTCCTTCCATTTTGCTCACCGCCCAAGCATTATCTGCAAAATCTTAATAAATTTCTCGGGTTGATATGATTTACATGTACCTCAATATTTCTTATTACAGCTCTCTTTGCCATGAATTTTGGGTGTGGTCTGGCATCTAATCGGACTTACATTATACTTGGAGGTCTCTTTGGTTGCTCGGCATATGTCATTAGTGCCATAATAAAGGACATGTCCTATCTAATCCTATCCCATGGTCTAATATTTGGTATGTAGCTATATGGTTAAAATTACTCGGTTTTAAAAAGATTTATTTTTTAGAAACTTGCATTTTCTCAATTATATCGTTCGTTTTAATTTTGAGAGAAGAGATATGGGGTAAAAATCGGATTTTATAGTAGGAACTTTATAATGTTTTTGGTAATTGAGAAAGTTTATACTTGAACAAAAATAATGATTTTAATTATAGCAAAGCCTAGACTAACTGGCTTTGATTTTTTTTTTTTACATGGATCTTTATGTACGATGTTGCTACTGAAAATCTGATGAAAAATCCTATTCCATCAAACTCAACTTGGTATAGTAGCAAGGTAAAACAAGAGAACAAATAGTCTGACGATGCTGTCAAATCTGAGAACAATGGTCTCATATATAAAATGTGAAGATAATGAACAGTGACCAATCTTATAAATCCAGTAAAGAATATGAATCTAGAACAGGGCTAAAGGGACCCCTGGAAACATCAGAGAAGGCAATAAATGCCTAGGAGGAGTAGACATCCTATATCAAAACGATGCTTAAGCATAAGCGGAACACAGTTTACATATTAAGTAATTAATATTCTCGTGTAACACATTATATTCTCAAAGTACCTGTCTGATTGAATAAGATTTTCGAAAATTCACTTTTTTAAACATGCATTAGCCATGGCCATGTTAGGTTTAAATCACAAAAGCAAAAAATATGCAAAGTTACCATTTCACTTTTTTTTTATCATAGACATTATCTCTTCCTAAACACTGATTAAATTTTTAAGGTATATCTTATGGATTTTCCTATGGACCAGCACTGGTAGTTCTAGGCCGATACTTCAACAAGAAAAGAGGATTGGCGGCAACGTTAGGAAATATGGGAGCCAGCTTTGGAAGTTTGATATTCCCACCTGTCATAAGGATTCTCCTGGACAACTACGGTCTTAAGGGTGCACTTGTTGTCATTGGAGGCCTCTTTCTAAATCTTTGTGTAGCAGGAGCTTTGATGAGGCCAATTGCATTCTATAAAGAGCGGATTAAATGTACTACAGTAAATTCAAAAGAACTTATTTTGTCCCAGAACATTTGGACAACGCACGATGAAATTGAAGGTGGTAGAAACCACACACCTAATGTTGGAAATCATACGACAATAGACAATTGTTCGCATTTCAAACTGACCCAAGAAAATTGCTACAAAGGAAGGATGTCAACTGTAAAAAAAGTTCTTCTTGATAAAACAAAAACTATATGCAACGCATCGATAAAATTTCAAGTTTTGCAAAATTTGCTATTCAGGATGTGGATTCCCGTATGTTTTCTAGCAATAATCGGATGTGTTCAGATAGTGATTTTTATACCTCCACACGCTAAAGATCTTCAAATAGCAGATAGTAAGATTACTCTCCTGGTGATCATGATAGGAGCTTCAAACTTGTTTTCTAAGATTTTTGTAGCTTTTCTTATCCATCGTAGTTGCATGACAAAAACTCACATGATGGCTGTTTCTTTGATAATAACCGGGGCATCTTGTATGTTCATTTCATTGTATACAGACTTCTTGACAATATCAATCCTATCCGTAATATTTGGATTTTTTGGAACTGTTTATTTTGGTTTATTTCCTGCTGTAATTGCTGAATTTGTAGGAGTAGAAAATCTTTCCAGTGCAATGGCGATAAATATGTTAATGCAGGGACTAGGACTGTCTATTTCCAACCCAATACTAGGTAAATCTAGACATTTGATAGAAATTAATGTTGAATGAATATTTTAAGGTTACTTGAGTCTTTCAGGTAACATATTGCTATATACTATATCGCTATGCGTCGAATGGTGTTTGTAATGTGACGTGTGAAACTTTTGCACATTTTTTCCAAACCACTGGGCCAATTTGGAAGAATTTTGCAAAAACGTATCCTCAGGAGGTGGAAATTCAATTTTTCTTTCAAAGGAAAAGCTAGGTCTCTTTCTAAGGAAAGGACGATAATCAAGAAATAATAAAAAGAAAGGGTCATTCAAAATCTTTTAGTTTAAGCATGTAGTCAGAATTGATAAAAAAAAATTGTGAAAGCTTCTTAAAATCATGGCCCCTGGGGCAGAGATCTGGTAACAAAATGTGCCCTAAGATTTATAGAAATTTATTGATAAATTTGACGATTTTCCTTTCAAAAAATACAAGACTACATATTCTCAACCCTATACATGTAAACAAACATCCCTATGTAGTGTAGATTCAAAATTATTCAAATCATTGTCATCGAGACAGGGATGAGGCTAGAAGTTTGATGCAAAGTATATAATAATATAGGTGAATATCTTTTAAAAATCCTTTATTTCTGAAATTTTGCATCGCAGAAGTGAACAACACTTTTAAATAAACTGTTTTTATACCTACTTTCTTCTGTCATACCGATACGACTCCCCCTTTTTTATTTTTTAGTCCAATTTTGTATTTTATTTTTTAAAACGTACATAATTTTATTATTCACTGCGAAATATATATTACATCCTGGCGTGGACCAGTCAATCGCTAATACAAAAAGATACATTATACGGTTATCTATTTCAGGATATCTAAGAGACACATCGGGATCTTTCTATGCTTCCTTCTATGTCATGGGATCAACTCTTATTATCAGTGGAGTAATACTGTTCTTGGAACCTCTGTGTAGAAAGTTAGAAAGAAGAAGAGCTGATTCTAAAAACATAGAACAAGAAGTTGTTGTTACACCATAATGATGATGATGATGATGTTGATGAGGGAGAGAGAGAATGTATATAGCATTTCAATTCAGTCTTTTAATAAAAAATGTATATCCTGAATAATTACTCTTTATTTTGAACAAAAACACACTTATTTCAACAGTTGAAAGGAAAACTTCAGATTTTTATCAGATACGAATATGCTAATTCTAAGTTGTGACATGATCCGGCGAGTTTTCCTTTGAAGTCAACCGTACAATAACTGCGATATAGAACACTTTTTGTAGGCGTTTCTTATGCAAACGAACAGAAACTGTACATTATCTGCAAAATATCAACGATACTGTACAGTTTATTTTTAGCGTTGAGGGAAAACTGAATCCTATCTCAAATGATATAGACATAAGAATCATTCAAACTGATTGATAGTGCTGTTTGCACTTATCTAAAATTTGAGATAAATTAAGAATTTGACAACGTAAAGTTACCAATGCGGATTCAAAAATTTTTGAAAGGAGGGAGTGAGGGTAGTAAACAAATGGTTTTCTTCGGGAAAAAATGTCCAAAATGGAAAATAGGGGATTTCGTTGGGGTAGATTCATAATCAGACCTGACACTATGCGAGTGATCGTTACGTGTTGATAGGTTAAAAGTATACACAAGTTTAGCAAACATAATCTACGAAAGCCAGAAAGAAAAGACAAAAATGGTGGGGGGAATATTGACCCGTGCGAGTGAGTGCTGGATCCGCCTTTGGTTACTCTGTATTTTGTTTCAAACATGAAGGTAATATGCCCCCTTTCTTTCATCCTGTTTATTTCAATTTGGTGCCAAGAATTTTGTATACACATGTATGACGACCGGTCGATGACATTGTCAGACATTTGTTTAAGAATATACAACCTCCCCGAAACATTTTTGCTTCAAATACATTCCTACATGATTCTTACATGTATGTATCAAAATGTTTTGCACTAAATTCTTAGCATAAATTAAAAAAATGTCAGCAAGAGCTTAATAGAAAGGGAAAAAAACTATGCAATCAAATATTAATTATATTTTTGGAAAACACAATATAATGTCTCTCATACTATAGAGACCAGGACGTTCACCTCACTCGGCATTTTAGTTGCGATTGCTAAAAATGGGGAACTAAATCAACTTTCTGCCAAATCATCTGATAAGCTGAGAAACATGTACCTAAATAGGCATGTAAACTAGTGAGGTCATAAGAAAGGTCATGTCACAAGTTATTTAGAATACTCGTTTCCTACTGTATCGGAGATACAGAGCGAGGCCCGGCTCGAGCTATCGCTCTCGCCTTAAGCCCCGCCCTGTATCTCCGATACAGTAGGAAACTCGTACTCTGAATTTAACTTGACAAAGTATAACTCAAGTATAATTTTCATGAATTGTCATTATGTTTTATTTTTTGTATGATTTTATGTTCGTTTGAGTATGAATAAACGTTACATGTTTTATATAATATAATACATGCACTTTGGATAATTATTTTCCATTTCATTGCATAGTATATCTCTACATGTTACCTCAAATAATATCATTTTTTACAATGCATAGCATTGCTCTTCATATTACTTCTTTTTATTTCAGTACTTTAACTTACAGGTAAGCATAATTCATATCAAAACACAATGCTTAAATTAATTTCCGATATAAAACATAAAAGGTTTTTTTTTTGGATAATATTTGGTTTCACAAAATCCATGTATAATACCCCCTTATCAATGAATTCTGCATATAATTTCATACATGTCCATGTACTATATTAGTTTTCACTGCATAATATGAAAGCATATAAGCCTAGGAAAGTATGTAGCCTTTGTCAATACTACACAATATAGTATACACGGTATAATTTGACTATTGTTTCATTTTCATGAACTGTTTAGAACAAATATATGTTCCTCAAAAGAATGTCCAGCAAAGAACTACGTGTATTTCATTATTTTCATATGTATCTAATATGTATTGAAAGGTATCTGAAATATACTCTTAATTGGTGGATTCCTCAATACATCATATGAAATCTTCCTTCAATACGCGGAACCAGATTGGGATTCCATTCCTAAATGGATTACTTTTGTTTATGGTACCTGACTATTGAAATTATCTGCATATATATCATTTAGTATATTAAGTATCCAAAACGAATTTATGAGCTATGGCTTCTTCTTGATGATTAGGACCAAATTGTTAGTTTTTTATCCACTGTACAAGTCCTTAAAATTCTCCATTCATCTCCTATTACCTCAATTATTATGTGTTTTGTTTTTTTCTTGGCCCTAGATCGTGAATTTTTCTTCAGAATTTTGCTGGATAATCCATAGTGGCACCTAATCCCACCTCTGATGTCTTAGAGGTCTGTGTTTGCTCTACTCCTATTTTGTAATGTTTAATGGACTTTTGAGCTGGAATACTGTTCATTATCTCCACATATTTCACTCTTTCTATTTTTATAGGGTTTGTCAAATAATTTCTATTTTTATAGGGTTTGTCAAATAATAATCGGACAGAGAGGTAAGCATATCGATACTTTCTATAGAAAATTTGGGTATATTCTTTTTATTCCGATCATCCATCACTATGTCTCATTATCTTTTACCTAGAACTCCTCTAACATTCAAAGCAGGAACCAAATCAAGATAATAAATTGTACTCTAGATGTGCAATTTGGTTTCAGAGTTTTTATTTCTTCCTCAGGGGCCAAATCAGAGTAAAAAAAAGACACTTTCCTACAAAACCTGGTTCCCAGAACTTTTCTTACATATTAAGAAGTAGCTAAATCAACTTTTGCAAAATAATTGGTGGTGTCTTGTAGATGTGCGATAAGGTTTTGAAAATTTCATTTTTATTCTGGAGACCAATGGAGGGTCGAAAAAATGACGAAAACCTGATTCCCATAGCCCCCCTCATATTTTATGCAGTACCCAAATCTTTTAAAATATGATAGGTGATCTCCGAAAAAGTGTAATATGGTTTGAAATTTTCATTTTCATTCTGGGATTAGGCATGACCCATAAGAAATTGCCAAACATAATTCTCAGTGTATCGTGCTATATGCAGCAAGAATGTATTTGGTTTAAGGACTGGAATATTAAGTATTTTAAAGATATTTGAACAATTACAAAAGGAAGAGGATTGGGATGACCTAGGAACTTGTCCAACATTAAACTCAATGCAATTTGATATGTGCAGCAAGAATATATATGGATTACGGGTGGGCATCTCAACTTGATTTAAAGCTACTTCCCATGTACAAAGGGGGGGGGGGTACGTACGGGTATTAACGTCTTATGACAACATCTACCCGTAGGTTTAATTAACACATGTATGTTATACTCGTAATTCAATTCCTTTTAAATAAACGTTCTCCTTATCAAGCATGCTGTTCAAGAGAGAGTCTGTAGTTCCAAGTATATGCTGTTTATTTTTCAGCATGTGTTTCTTCTATAAAGAAGAAATTTCAGTGAATTATGAAAAACTAGAATAACAAGTAGAAAATTTAACGTGCCCAATTTAAAAAGAACACTTAGAATTTGATACATGTATATTCGGTCAAAGATCTGCATCCAGAACCTATCCATCCATAATTTTGTCAATGGTGCATCAGGTTTAATTATAATTGATGTTTCTCATATGAAGATATGGTGAAAATATCTGTCCAGAAAAATCCTCATGTTGTATTATGGACTTTGAAAGTAAAAAAGAACACGGAAGACAATTAATTTCTCATTCTGACTTGTTCCTTTTCATTACAACTAAGCTTTTCATTACAACTAAGCTTTTTAATTTATTATATTAATAAGGTGATTTCTTTACTTTTATAGGCTGGAACATTTTGGCACCATTCAGATACCTCTTTCCTGTCATATACTTGATAAACTGTGGTATTTTCCTACTACAATTACTCATTTAATCATTAAAAATTTACAATCTTCGTGGTCTTTTAATGACAATGAAAAACTGTATGTCAGTGGTTTACATTTCCAATTTACTCAGGCCTGTACATATTCTTCTTTGCTTCACATCTGGCTCCTTGAATAATTTAATTTTCAAACGGTTCCACTGCCAGCTTTATCTCCATAAATATTTTGAATGTTTGGAATCATCTTGTGACAGTGAAACGATGATCACAGCAAAGCTGAAAAAGATACTTTAGCTCGACGATGAGTATTTTGAATAACAAATATATTTGGAGATGTTAACAAGTAATGTACAGTATTATAAATTGCTTCCTTCTTATGTGACTATGCACTTACTGACATACTTATTTATTTTGAAAACATGATCGATACTGATGATTCATTTAGGTACTTATAGTGCTATGAAATAGTAGGTGTTGCCTTGATTTAAATGTGAAATTGGTTGCATACATTAAGGAAATTATTTGCTATGATATTTTCATATTTTAAGCTACAGACAACATAATTGAGTATGCAACACCTGCATTTCTGCTTGCTTGATTGATTGTATTTTGTTTCACGTCCCCCACTGTGGGACGTGGAGACCGGACCTTCGGATGAGACCGTATAAACCGAGGTCCCGTGTCGCAGTAGGTGCTGGCACGAAAAAGATCCCTCACTGCTCAATGGCTGTAAGTGCCGAGTATAGGACAAAATTTGTAGCCCTCCACCGGCAAGTGGTGGCGTCTCCATATGAGTGAAAAATTCTCGAGAGGGACGTTAAACAATACACAAACAAACAATAAAACGTCCCCTTCGAGAATGTTGATTCGTCCCCGTAAACTTTATCATGCCAACGCCTATCGTGACTGGAGACTTCGGTTTAAATGTCTCATTTGAAAGACCAGCGGCTTACTTTTAGTGCCGGGCGCTTGGCAAAAGAACTATTTATATTTATGTTTTATGTTTGACGTGGCATGGTGAACAAGAATCGAACCAGGGCTTTTCGATCACGAAGCGAATGCCCTATCACGTGGTTTCCGCAAAAAACAACATTAAATTTTCCTTATATTAGTATAATTACATATTCTCTCCCTTCGGTAAACAATAGTACAACCTAAACCCAGGAAAACATCTTTATTTTGATATAAATGGCTTCAATAACAATAAAAATCCACCAAGAATCAAACAGACCCCCATGAGGTAGAATCCACCCACATACGATCCAGTCTTGTCTCGTATAAAACCTGTAAATATAATTTGTATAGAGGCATGTAGATATTACATTTGACCACTGAACTATTTTTGAAACTACATGTACATCGCACTAATCTTCATCCTTCGCTAAAGATCTATTCGAGTTTTGTACCCTCATGCATTATATACGTGCGTATGACTGAATACATCATTTTAAGAAGAAATGAAACTTGACAGGTGAGGTACAGTGATTCCAACTTACCGACTAGTGTTGATGTTATAGCAATCGATGTCCCTCTTGTTACCGTGCCCATAACTAAACCATGACTAAGATTTTCTAATCCTATGAAATCAACTATTAGAACGTTTATCAATGAATAGTATGTGCCACCAAATGACGCTTGCAGAATTCCAAATACTGCTAGCGTAACAAAATCGTTATAGAACGATGCCATCAGACAGACAATTCCATTTGCCATAATTGCTATGGTCATCATATGACACCTTTGGATCTTTTTATTATCAGAAATAAATATGAACAAAGTTCTTCCAAATAAATCACTGGCTGCTGAAATCGTGAGGAGGTATCCAATCATATCTGTTTCTAATCCTTTGTCTTTTGCAAATGGCGCAATGTAGGTCACAGGAATAGTACAACCAGCAGCAACAAGAAAAGAAAACATCATTAGAATAACGAATTTGGCATCTTTGAACAGAGAAAAGTCAAATAACACAAACAAAAATTGAATGCAACAATTTCTTTCTTCATTGTATTTAGAAGATGCCGAGTCCATTTGGTTCTTTGATTTTGCTGTATTAATCATATCTAGGGATACGGTACTTGCAAGGTTCATTGAGCTTCCACACAATTCTACTGACTGTATTTTGCTATTTCGTATGTGCGTAGAATCAATATTTGTCAATGAATGTGATTTCCCATTTAACTTAACAAGTGAATGTAGAGAGTGTTTTGAACCAGTGAACGTATTTCGGATATCATATTCAATGTTTAAGTTATTCTCCTTGTCGTTAGAGATAAGACATTCGTTATGATCCGTTATATCGGATATCTTGTCATGTTCTTTATTCTTATTTTCTTTCTTAGTAGTTTGTTCTCTATCAATTGGTCTCATAAGTAATCCAATAGGAAGGAAATGAAGATACAATCCGCCTGCTATAGTGAGTGTTCCTTCCAAACCATATTCACTAAAAAGAAAGGTTAACAGAAAAGGCAAGGCCAAGCCCCCAAAACTCCCACCAACATTAGCAATTGCATTGGCCATTCCACGATGTTTTTCAAAGTATTTTCCTACCATCAACATTGAAGGCAGATGGGCAAACATTGCCGATATAGCTGTGATAAGAGAAAAGTATCATATTAAGTACGTTTAAAAAAGCTTATTTGATTTTAAACGTTACATGTAGTTATGTACCAATTCTTAAACAATGAATGATGTGCAGAATATAACGATATACACTATCCTAATGATAAAGTGACATTTGTCGCGGTTTCAATTTAACAAATGGGAACTCAAGAACATTGAATTATGATTTTTTAAATAAATATGTATGTAGTGTTTAACAATGTGAACCAAATGTATCGGTACACTGAATTTATATCAGAAGTGCAGATATATCTGAAAGGTTTCTTTACAGATAATAGTATTATGGTGAGCGTAACTTTTTGCTTAAACGTCTCAAAGTTTTGTAGTTTCTATAAGACAGTCACTATAATATGGCAGTTTCATTCACTTTTTCATTTGTGTTTCAAGGATGTAATTAAAAAAAATGCCATGCTAGTATCTTTTATAAATACGAATAATCCTTCTTATATGGTGAACATACCGAATAAAGCACTATGCGTGAAAAACAAAAATTCTGCAAACGGTGCATAAGCATTTCCTAACTGGCACGCTAGTCCTATGATTGCGGCACACATTACCATAGTCCTTTCTGTTAAGTATCGAGTTCCGATACCCATGATGATGATTGCTGCAAAGGAAACATACAGCAGAAGGTATAACTAATATATTGTAAGATTAGATATTTGTAGTTTTCAATTATAGGGAACAAATACGGTAATTTTGAGTTTAAGAATGTCTCTGAACTACTTACAGCTAACACTGGCTACAATGGTTTGAACTGAGAGCACCATAGACAGTATTGAAGCACTGGTCGCGTATTTCTTTTGATATTGTACAAAAAATAGTCCGAACGATTTAAACATTCCTAGGATGATGAAATACTCCAAAAAGCAGGCTACAAGAGAAGAATAAATATATTTTAAAATATTTGTATATGATCAGAAATAGCAAACTATGTTATCAGATGTACCCACTAATCAGATCTTTGATATATCAACAAAACCAGCTTGGATAATTAAGAGAGAAGAAAAGTCGCTTGGTTGTAGGGAATACAAACAAAATATGTAGATTTGATTTCATTTTTCCTTTTTTAATAGATCAGACAATTACAATTCAAACACAGAGGGAGACACGTAAATGTTATAATCTGTTGTTATAAAAGCCAACCCAGGTTGCATTAACCTTCACTACCCCGTCTTCTGTTCATAATTAATTCATATCCTGATCGACCTCCAAAGCAATATCAATGACAATTTGCAAAATTAATGAATTAAAGCAATATCGTTCACTCATATTCGAAAACAAATCAGTTTCACAATTTTGCAGAATAACATTCCAGGAAGTCGAGGAGGTTCGAGGAGGAGAAAGTCAAAAATCATGCAAAAAGTTCAGTCTTTGAACATCAAGTATTCACATGTATGTTACGTACCAAGAAGAACGATCCAGGCCCAACCTCTGTCCACAGAGGCCGACGAACTTTTCCGAAAATTGAAAATTGTCATCTGCAAAAATAACATCAAATACTGTATTCATCACTTATAAGCTTTAACCCACCCCCACCCCTTTTCCGAATATATCACTTCTTTAAGAGGTATCGGTGGTCATGACCAACGTTTTAAAATACAGAAAAAGAAAAGTTTTATATAAAAATATATAAAATTGCATAAAACATGTGATGTGTTTTTTTTTCTCTAAATAACAGATAATGGCTAGAAAAATAATACGTTATACTTTAAGATGGATCTGTGGGATAATTTGCTGAAATCCCAGCCTAATTAATTGTTAATAATAGGTTGCCATTAGAACGTGCCGTTAAATATGGTAAATGATGTAATATTATGTAAACAGCTGTTCACAACTTCAGATTAAGATAAAACTAAGAATGTCTACAACAGTTATCCTATTCCAAGATATTGGAAGGCTTGTATAAAGTACTATTTTCAAAAACGTCAAGGTCATTCAAGCATGTTTTAAAAATTATAGATACACAGAAAATACATAACAAAGAACCATGCGTGTTGAAAGTATCTTTTGTGTATCGTAACAGTATGAATATGAATCGCAATGTCCTTGATGGATGTGAAATATTCAATGGAATGACACTTACCTGCTCTCATATAAAGAAGAACCTTGACTTGAACGGTTTATTATACACCGGTATCTCCAGATACAAACATTGGCGATAAGGAATCCACTTCCATGAGAGTTAACACACTGAAAAGGGAACGTTGACATCGATTCTGAGCGACCTCTAGGCAACATTTTATAACGCATCAAGCGCTGAAATGCACACACATTACACGGCTGTAAACACTGATTAAACACTTAAACAGGTTTTCAGGGAATGGATCCAGGTTTTCTCTTTTATTCGACCTGAACGTTTATTGGCTATATGTTCCAATTTACGAAGTAACCTTACTTAATCAAAAGATTTAACGTATAATTGTTCATTTTTCGCATTTCATAGTCACCTCATATATTATGATGTTGTTCGACATATGTATGATTTCAGTGAAAATAAACCTATATAATTAGTAATAATATAGTATGAAAAGAAAAATATAGGCGATTATGATTCATATCCGTCTCTCACTGAAATACAAGGAGAATTATGTTGAAGTCGTTAGCATTACGAGGGAAATGAATTGTTAATGATGAGTGAGTGGCTAGGATTTTGTCCTTAATCACAATTACATCGTTAAATAATATAACACAACATACATAGACTGAGTATTCATAGTTTTTAAACCTTATTTTTGAGGGAGGAAATGTGTAAAAGCAACGTTTATTGTTTTGTATTTTTAGAATATGATTTTTTTTTCAGTGACAGATTCACTTTTCATTCCGATTTACAAATATATAAATTATACACTTACGTGGGTCTTGTACAATTTGTTGGAATCGCCACTGGTAATTAAGGAATAACTGTCTTATTTTTTGGATTCATGATGTGATCAATCGAGTGGCTTGCGTGATAATTTGCATAAACGCCGAAGGCGTTTATGCATAAAATTATCACGCAAGCCAATCGATTGATCATCGTCATGAATCCAAAAAATCTGACAGTTATTCCTTATATTTACATGCTCCTGATTCTGCAAATTCCCGTGCTAATAGCCCCGCTTCTGTCTCTATTTGTCCCGCCCCGCACGTGATTTTTTTTCTAACCGCACCTATCGATGAACCAGTAGATTTATGTAGAAATAAAGTATTTTTACAATTTGCAATTTTATCTCGGACAAAGACATTGGAAATGTAAATATTTATGAATCAGCACACTTAAAACCGTCCTTAAAAATATCCAAATGCTCCTGTTTTCAGTGAATGACTCCTCCAGATTTCCTCATGGTCATTCGAGAATGCTTGAATCGCGTGATTGAGTGAGGTCAATGTTACAATTACCTATTCAACCTCTATAGCTAAAAAATATTCTGTTAAAATGTATTTGCAGAGGTAAGAGATTTTGTTACAATTTTCAGCGGCCCATGCTGACAGATACTAGTAATTATTCTAGATATTATTATAACAAAAGGCACTGCAGAATTTTAAACACTCAACGAAAAAGAAACACTTTAATCAGAATTTTATTTTTTTTAAGTAAATATTAGTAATAGAACAAATGTTACATTCGTAAGATATATATAATGCAAATAACATTTAGACATTACAAGTTAAGCCAAAAAACTGAGATTTGTTGATCGTTTATACATGTATAAATTGAATATCAATATGATTGTAAACTTTATGATTTTGATACTTCGTATAAAGAATATTCAGTATTTTAAAAAGATTAAAGTTATATCAACAAAGTTACATAACTTTTATTGAGAAATAAGATAAAAATAATTTTCATTTATTTTTTCAAGAATGAATATATAAAAACATAGAGGAGATGTAGATGTAGATGTAGAGGAGATGTAGACATTCTGGTGCATAGGAGATGTAGACATTCTGGTGCATATGCAGAGGAAGTTATTACTGCAATTTATTTTCGGTTAATTATGCAGGATTGTCTGCTCGCGAAAATTTTATCCTCGCGAATATTTATATCGTGTAAGAATATAATCAACGGTAACCAAAATTCGCAATTTTTTTGTCTTGCTTATAAATATCAAGCATAAATCTTGCGAAAATAAGGTGAAAATTTGGTGATCTACTGTACAGTATTTAACTTTGCTAGTGTTGCCAGATGATCCCACTTTGGCTACTTTGTCCCCAAGTTCAAATGAAGTGTTCCATAATTTTCACATATTTTATATTTGTTAAAATAGAGTAATTTTAAAATTCCTCTTTTAAAATTCACGATTGATAATTTACTTTGGGGTACTTAGTTGCTCCCCTTTTGTACGAACAACAGCCTTAATGCAATTTCACGAAACTTTTTTTCATCATATTGAGCACCATTTTAGATAGATGCTTTCTACACACATTAAATTTATAAATTGTTGGCATGTTTCGTGAAGGGTACGGTCTTTTTATTTGACCCCAAATGTTTTATTTGGGTTATAATCAGGAATGTCCCAGGGCAACGGAGGTGCATATATTACACATGTGGTCAGAGAAACTCTTGTCTTTTTTAAGTTATACATGCTTCTCAATAATACATACAAATTGTTTTCTGGAAATTACTATCCAATCACTCTTTCAGTATCTCTTGATGAGCACAAGCAAGTTTCTCAAAATGCAATGCATACACGAAACATTCCCGATTGAAACTCAAACATTTAAGGTGAAATTTACGATGGAACAAGAAGACTTTGGTAAAAACATGCCAAGGGTCACAAAGACACGTGTCAGACACTTCAGCGAGAATGGTACTCAAATTCCAAGAACGTTCTCTGAAAACTTAATTCATAGCAATCTTAGTATTATTAAGACTGTTTTTCCTGTAAAAGGGGGGCAACTAAATACTAGAAAAGAAAATATTAATTATAAATGTGAAAACTATACATGTAATTATAAAATTGCAAAATTCATTATATGTTTTGTTTGAGTGATTATTCAGTAGCAATATAAAATCTTAATGATTTACCGTCGATTTAAAAAAAAAAAAAAACAATACCAGCAATACAGTGTACGTTTTCTTTAATTACTATATTGGTGTTTATTATAAAATACCCGTAAAACCAACTGAATTTCATTTCAGCAGAACAAATAGCTTGTTAATTAAATATTGATCAGCATATGTCTGCTAAAATTCATGAAACATTTTCACTTTTCGACACAAAAGGCTTGAAAAGCAAAATAGCACCACCTACAATGGAGCATATCCCCATCAAGTAAAATCCACCGACATATGAGCCTGTGTTGTCACGTAAAACACCTAAAAAGTAAAGATGGACATTGGAAATTAAATGCAGATTATGCAAGTTAAATTTTAGGGTTTGAATAACTTAAGAAAGATTATTATTCCTTTAAACATAAGCCTAAGAGACCAACAAATCAACTAACAAACACACACACACACACACACACACCCACACACACACAGAGAGAGAGAGAGAGAGAGAAAATACAAATTTAAAAAAAAATCAATAAGCTATTTGATTGAAGGTTTAGGTAATATACATGCATTTGTTTTCTTTGAAGAAGAGCCTTTTTTCTAGCGATTGTTCTTCTTGATTTGGCAATTATATTTAATATTAATCTATATAAGAGAATTATAATAACAACTTTCGTTCTGGTCATATTAATATAATAAACGTACCAATCAGTGTCGATGTTATAGCTATAGAAATTCCTCTGGTCATTCTATTTACTGCTAGGCCGTGATTCAGACTGTCTAATCCTATAAACTCGACCAACAGAATGTTTATCAAAGAATAATACGTTCCACCTAATGCCGCCTCCAAAATGCTAAATACAGCTAAAGAGACAAAACTAGTACAGAACACTGCCATTAAACACACGATTCCATGGACGACCATCGCAATTGCCATCATATGATGCTTCTGGATTATCTTGTTGTCTGCTATGAATATAAATAGGAATCTACCGACTAAATCACTGGCCGATGAGAATGTCACAAGGTATCCGATCATATCACTTTGTAATTTTTGGTCTTTGGCGAAAGGTGGAATGTAAGCTACAGGAATAGTGCAAGCAGCAGCGATGAGCAACGAGGATGTCATTAACAGGTTAAATTTTCCATTCCTGAACAAAGAAAAGTCAAATATTTTAAACAGAAACTGCAAGCAAAGACCTTTTCTATTTTCAGTTTGTTTTGAGTAATTTTCTAAATTTGGTTTTGAATTCTTGAAGTCACTTTTTCCCGTGGATATTGACACTGTTTCGTCTTCAGAACACATAAAGTTTGAAGAAAGAACATTTTGTTCCTCTTCGGATTTTGGGGGTAACAAAGTGATAGCATTTTCATTTTTCTCTTCCTGTTTATAAAGCGAGTCATTTGAGGCAGTGACAGCATCTCTCATTTTGTGTTCACCATTTTGTTGTTTTCTTTTCTTTGACTTAGAAAATCTATCTGGACTCTCCTCTTCTTTTATCAAACGATGGTTTTCTATTTCATTAATATTTTGTGATTTATTCGTCTTTCTTTCAATTGGTCGCATCAAAAGACCAATAGGAAAGAGGTGAAGGTGTATTCCACCAATTATGATGAGGGTACTTCGTAGTCCATATTCACTAAATAAATACGTCACTAACTGTGGTAAAACCAACCCACCAATTCCTGCACCGAAATTCGCAACTGCATATGCCATTCCTCTCCGTTTCTCAAAATATTTTCCAAGTATTAACATAGCAGAAAGATGAGCAGATTCTGATGTAAGTGCTGGAAGAATGATGAATATAATCACATTCAATATGATAGTCATGGCAAATAACAAGCTATCATAATGGTAGTGCTTAGATGACTTAAGAGTGAAAGGACTTAAAGTGTACCTAGGATTTATATTTTATATTAAATTCAAGAAACATTAGCCTTTATAGATTCTGAATTGAAATAATATTTTCTCTTTGTAAGCCAGGCCTTTCTGATGTTATAATACAACTGCTTGTTTATACCTAAAATAGTTCGATGCATTAGTGCTTAAATCACTCTAAGAGAAGCAGACGAACCACCGAATACACTGTTTTGAGACTTTGATTAGAAGAGCTACCAAGCCCATGGCCCATGGGCAAGTAATCTTTCTACTTGTGTGGCAAATGAAAACGTTGATAAGCAGATAGTAATATACCGAACAGATATAAAGCAGAAAAACTCATTTGAGTCTGTAACCTAGGCGAGCTATATCATATTTCCATACCATAGAGGGTGCTTTGTGTGAAGAAGAGAATAGAAGGTTGTGGTGCAAATGCATTGCCTAAATTGGAGCCAAGTCCAAGGATTGCCGCGCAAATAACCATTAGTCTCTCT